CTCCAAACCCTAAACCCCCCCCACCCAAGCCCCCCCCCCCCCCCCCCCCCCCCCCCGGCATGGGGTTCAGCATCGCGAGGGCCGCAGCGGCACGTGCACCCCAGGTTCCCCAGCGGGCGCCCAACTCCGCCATGACGAAGGAGCTGCGGGCGCGCAGGACCTGGGAGGGATGGTGGGCTTCAGAGGGTTTAGGGTTTAGGGTTTAGGGTTTAGGGTTTAGGGTTTAGCTTGTCAGGGGACCTCAACCCCTAAAAAAGGGGCATAAGGGCTTGCAACGTGGCCCCAGTTTAGGTGTTGCGTTCATACGCAGGGCTTCGGGGGATTTGGAGGGGCCGAGGGTTTCAGGGTTTGGGGTTACAAGGCCTTTGGCGTTTGGGGGGTACGCGGTTTGGCGCTTGAGGAGCTCTTGGGATTTAGGGCTTTGGAATGGTGACTCCGCACAAGGCTCGTCACACCCAGAACTCAACTACTTCATGAGCCTCTGTACATCGCAGACACAACCTCCTCCCCTGAACCCTAAAACCTAAACCCTAAACCCTAAACCCTAAAGCCGTATCAGGCCCAGGTGCAGCTTGGTAGATGGCCACATGCTCACTATACTCTTCATCAATGATGGGCAAGGCAGGCCTTGGTTGCCCAGTATCCATCTTATAATCGGGGTTTAAGGGTGAGGGTTTAGGGTTTAGGGTTTAGGGTTTAGGGTTTAGGGTTTAGGGTTTAGGGTTTAGGGTTTAGGGTTTAGGGTTTAGGGTTTAAGGGTGAGGGTTTAGGGTTTAGGGTTTAGGGTTCAGGGTTCAGGGTTCAGGGTTTAGGGTGTAGGGTTTAGGGTTTATGAGGAAGGCAACCTTGAACCAACAACAAAAGGGCAAAATGGTGCCACTGGGCGACCAAGAGGCTGGATGAAGGGCATCCCGCCCTGCAGATGGGCCTCGGGCAGGCTCTCTGCTGGGTTTAGGGTTTAGGGTTTGGGGTTTAGGGTTTAGGGTTTAGGGTTTCAGATGGGCTGACTTGGCGGCGCCACTGTTTTTCAAGGCAAACCTTTTGAGCAAGCTCCTGTGTAGGATCCCACTGCGACTTGCCCTATACCCTAAACCCTAAACCCACAGACCCCAAACCCAACAGTACCTGGACAACAAGCAAGGCGATGGCATGCAAATTCCCTCTAACCCCCCCACAAACCCGAGACTCCGCACGCCTCATGCAAGTAGCAGTTTGTCCACCGGCCCGGCGACGCATAAAAGTAGTTCATGCATCCATATTCCTGACAGCTGTGGAGGCGCGAGGTTTAGGGTTTAGGGTTTAGGGTTTAGGGTTTAGGGTTTAGGGTTTAGGGTTTGGGGTTTAGGGTTTAGGGTTTAGGGTTTAGGGGCCTGAGAGCTCAGGTTTGACATTACGGCTATCGGGTCCCAAACAAGGAGCTAACATATCCCCGCTCCCTCCTTTGAAGGTTCTTCTCCAGCCTATATTGCACATGGCTGCCGTTTAGGGTCTAGGGTTTAGGTTTTAGGGTGTAATTACCCAAGTCAAGAAAACAAAACATGTACTAACGCCTCCTAAAAAATATTCTTACCCTCCCACTTATCTTATACCAACAGTTCCCTGGTTCCCTGTATAGCATCGTCAGTTCTCATCGCATGGACTGTGAATGTCTCATGGTAGCGAACCCGGCCTGGAAGACAAAGGAAATCCAAAGCTCTCTCTAAACCCTCCAAAGCCTTTAAGCACTGAAGCCTCTGAGCCCACTGGGCCCTCGAAACCCCTTAACTTAAATCCTCTAAACCCGCTAGACACCCGAAACCCTCTAGACTCTAAACCCTGTAAAGCCCCCGAAGCCCTCCAAAGACACCCTGAACTCTCTAAACCCTCTCTAGCCGCCCTCAAACCCCTCTAAACCCCCTACTCCCGCTCTGTGGCGGCCCACCGCTTTCAAGCCGAGTTGCATTCCACTGAGCCGACCGGTTTCCTGAGTTGTGACCGAGTCGAAGCTTTCAGGGCTTCGGGCTTGGGGCTTAGGGTTTCGGGAGCACTTGGTGAGTCTATGAAGTTGTTCCCCCCCTTCTTGTACACTTAGTAAACGAAGGAAGGGGTTTGGCTTACCCTAAACCCTAAACCCTAAACCCTAAACCCTAAACCCCCTAGACCATAAACCCTAAAAGAAGGAAACCCAAACGAGCCTCCCAAAGCGCAGCCCAGTGTCGGTCGCAGTCCTCGGCTGCCCAGTGATCGATCTAGAAAGGCTTAAAGTTTAGGGTTTAGGGTTTAGGGTTTAGGGTTTAGGGTTTAGGGTTTAGGGTTTAGGGAACACTTGAGGTGACCACTCTGCTGTTCAGTTTAGGGCTTAGAGTGCAGGGAATAAGGGGCATGTGAAGGAAAAGCGGGGCTTCACGGGGGTCCTAAAGCTTAAACCCTGAATAACCCAAAAAATAAACCCTAATCCCCACATAACCTTAAGCGACCCAAAATAACCCTCCCCCCCTTCCTAAAGAAGGAAAAATCAGGGAACACCCTAAACCCTAAACCCTCAACCCTAAACTCTAAACCCTAAACCCTAAACCCCAAAACTGCCCGTTGGCCGTCCGGGTTCCAAGTGAACGGGTACCCGGAGGCCTCCCAGCTCGACGAGGTAGTCCTGAGCTGTGCTGATTTGGAAACCTGCTGTCAAGGTTTACTTCGGGTTATTCAGTGCTTTCGTTTTTTTTCGGGTGGGGGGGATTGGGGTTTAGGGACTAGCTCGGTTTTATACCGTTGATCGTATTCTACGGCTCATAGGGCTTAGGGTTTTCCAGGTTACCTTATACAGGAAAGCAGACCCTACACCCTAAACCACGAGAAAAGGACCCAGCTCATGCTCATGATGCTCCCCTCCGGCCTCGTGAACAACCAGCAATCATTGGAGCAGTTGGCTTTGCAAGCGCCTTGAGCTTGGGGGGGCACATGAAGAGAAAAAGGCCCAGCTGATGCAGCTGATGCTCATGATGCTCAAACCCTAAACCCCAAACTCCAAGCCCTAAACTCCAAACCCTAGACAATCACAGCCCAGAGTCTTGGCTGACCGGATAGGACAAGTCAGGGAACCTGGAACTTTCAGGAGCATTAGGGTGTAGGGTTTAGGGTGTAGGGTTTGGGGTTATGGGTTTAGAGTTCAGGGTTCAGGGTTTAGGGTTGAGGGTTAAGGGTTTATATAGGGGTGTTTATCATGTCTTGGATTCTTCTGAAGCTGTTGGGAATTGTTTGGAACTGCTTTTGGAACCGGAGGAACTCTGGGACTTCAGGCTTCTTGGGGATGCGACATTCTGTGCCAAAAGACTCGGAAACCACGGCTTAAACCCTAAACCCTAGACCCTAAACCCTAAACCCTGAACCCTAAACCCTAAACCCTAGACCTCAGTGGCCCCCTTCTAGGAATTCGGAAATCTCCCACGGGGCCCTATGGATTCCTTAGCCCACAGTACTTGGAGGTTCATGGGTACTTGTAGCCCCCAAAATATGTCTACTTATCACCTACTTAGAGGACTTACACACCTGATAAGTAATTGGGGCTTCTAAGTCTGAACCCCCAAGTAGGCTCGCGCGCAAGGCCAAGCCCTAAACCCCAAACCCCAAACCCTAAACCCCAAACTCCATACCCTAAACCCCAAACCCTAAACCAAGGGGCCGTGTGAAGACGGGATGGTGCGGGTAGGACAGGCCCTCGAGGAAGTTCACTGCCCGGAGCATCAGGGCTGGACCACGCCACCAGTCTGGGTAGCCCAGCAAGCCATATGATGACGTGGGTAATATAGGGGGGCTGAATAATTAGAATAGGGTTTTGGGGGTTCTTATAGTATAATAACTATAAAGGGACCCTAAGGGAATATTATTAGTATTTATTCCGACCCCTATCGTACCCTTTTTTGGGGTTGGTTACTGGTAGGGTACTACTGGGCTAGCAAGTAGACTCTTAAACCCTAAACCCTAAACCCAAACCCTAAACCCTAAACCCTTAAGCGGGTTTTGCTCCTGGATCGGGTCCCTGCATCTGAGGTACCTTCTTGGGTTTAGGGTTTAGGGTTTAGGGTTTAGGGTTTAGGGTTTTGCGACCTGCAGACCTGCAAACATAGAGTTGCATCCGCGGTCCACGCGTGCATGCACTTTAGGGTTTAGGGTTTAGGGTTCGGGGTTCTTGGTCTGCTAGACATTCGGAAAGAGTGACCATTGAGCCTCAACGCTGTGCGACTGAACAAACGTCAATTCTCATGCCTAACGAACCCTCGGCAAGCTCAACGGGTCAGTCGCTAGGCGTGCGGTTGTTTAATTTGTTAAATTCGATGTTAGCAGCAAGCGGCATCAAATTTAAACCGCATGTTCATAATAGCCAGCACTCAACTTTCTGTCTAAAGTCAATGCAAGGCAGTCCGCCCATGCAGCTAAGACGAGGGTGTTTGCAGATCTTACCTGCTTTGAAAACACTAATATAGCATAATATCATGAAATATACATATACACAAATACATATATATATATATATAATGTGTACTTATATAGAGTAGAATATAATATGATGTAATATCTATAGTGCAGTAGAACAGAACAGAATAGAACAGAATAGAACAACATAGGATAGGATAGAATAGAATAGAATAGAATATAATTGAACAACGAAAAGAGTCATGCAGAGAGTTACACTAAGGACCCCTCAAAAGGGACCATATTGTAGAAGTGACCACGGGAATTGATCCTTCACCTCACGGCTTAGGGTTTAGGGTTGCCCTCGCACTTTATGGGCATCCTTGGGCCTGGTACTCTGCACGGTCTTTGGGAACTTCGGGAGCTGGCGTTCAGAAAGGAACCGAACCCTACACCATAAACCCGCAACGGGGCCTGTCCTACACACAGCTGTGAGGCTTTCTTTGCTTCGTGGTGCCAGACGATTCCATAAAGGGGGGGAGTCCGTAGAAAAGCATTCTGAATCACTGCTGTTCGTGGAGATACACCCCACGTGGCGCAGCCGCTTCTCAAATTCAAAAGGCCTGTGAGAAAAGCATGCTCAGTATCAAGGCTGGAATCTGGGCTTTCAAAGCCTCACCGACGCTTGATGGCAGTTGTGCCGCGGTGGAGGTCGACGTCGAGGATGTCTCTGATCCGTCTGTCTGGCTCTCGTTCAAGGGCGGAGTCGCCGTTGAGCTGCTTGTGCTGCTTGTGCTGCCCTCGACTTCCGAGTTGTTGGCGGCGTCCTGGAGGGGAGTTGTACTCGTAGTGCTCGTCAGGCCTGCCAGTATTTCGGTGTCATTGGAGATGGAAAGGTTCGCGAGTATTTCACTTGCGTTCCGGGACCTCAATAGAGCCACCTGCTCCTTACTTCTCCAATCACCTAGGAAGGAACAAGGTTAAAACCTTATTACTCCTACTAAATAAGAAAACCCAAACAGTTTAAAGCTCCTCTGGGTGGCTGTCAAGATTATGGTCTCTTTGTGTCCCTTTCCTTAATACGGCACCGAGCATTTAGGGTACCCCAAAAGGGGGATCATCATTTTGACAACCGCCCATCCATTCTGCCACGCAAGGCTCTGCCGTGAGGTCTTGCCCCGCTTTCAAGGCAGGAAATCGCGTGGAGAGGATGGACAAGTCCCGGCCTGGGCTGCCCAGGAACCGACCTAAACCTACCTAAACCCCCTAAACCCCCTAAACCCCCTGAACCCCCTAAACCCCCTAAACCCCCTAAACCCCCTAAACCCTAAACCCCTAAACCCTAAACCCTAAACCCTAAACCTCCAAACCCTAAACCTCCAAGCCCTAAACCCCTAAACCCTAAATGAGGGCACTACTAGGGCATCCTACTACTGCGCATCCTAGCGGCACATCTGCTGCGTCGCCGTCTCACTCCGTGGTTTCAAATTGGCCTCCCAAGCCTCTGGGCCCTTGTGTCCCTGGTGAGGCCAAGAGAAGTCCTAGGTTGCTTAGGGTTTTGGGCTTAGGGTTTGGGGTTTAGGGTTTAGGGTTTAGAGTTTAGGGTTTAGGGTTTAGGGTCTAGGATTTAAAAATGCGTGCCCCTGGTTTGCTTACAGGGGGCTTAGTAGGGAACCGGAACCTCCCCCCCAAAAAAAGGGGAATCAGGGGGCACTACTGGGCGAAACCGAGCGACGCACACGGTGATGGGAGCGGAGAGCGTGTCGTCGAAGCCACAGCCCACCATGGAGTGGTTGTGCCAAAGCAGGATCACCATGTGGCCACTGTTGTAGGAGCCACCGCTATTCCTTAAGGTAGCCCTATAGTAACCCAGACTCCAAGGGTACCTCTTAGTTGGACTTGGCGACTGTGTAAGGGAACCTTGAGCCAAAAAAAGGAAGCCTAAACCGTAAACCCTAAACCCTATAAACCCTAAACCCTAAACCCTATGAACCCTAAACCCTAAACCCTAATCCCCGGCTACCAAGATGCTGAACAGCTGGAATGCTGAAGTTGTGCACCCCGATCTCTTGGTACCAGGCATTCACGCCGCGTGTGCAGCTGGATGTCCCCCAGGTCAGCACCTCCGTATACTCCTCGGCTTAGGGGGGGGGTTAGGGTTTAGGGTTTAGGGTTTAGGGTTTAGGGTGTGGGGTTTGGGGCTTCGGGGAGTTGTACAGTAACCTGGGGGAATGAAAGGTGAACCTTTGGGACTGGAATTGGGAGTAAAGAAGCCCCAAAAAAAGGTTATAAAGGTACCTAAACTCTAAACCCTAAACCCTAAACCCTAAACCCTACTTAGCTAAGACTCGGGGTAGAAGCTGCCTCCCCAACCCGAGTGGATCGAAGGCTTGTCCGGTTTCTGCGCCCAGGCCTGGGCGCTCGAGGCGATTCCTTCGTGGTAGATCACGGGCGGCGCGTCGTGTAGGCACCGAAAGAAGTTGATGTTGGCCATGCAGCACTCCTGGCCGCTCATTCCCCAGCAAGAGGGAGGCTCCAAGATTTCCCAAGGCTGTTGGAGAAAGCTCGGCTCGTAGCCGTACTTTGCCAGGAAGGTCGGCTGGTCGAAGATGACCTCCTGGTACGAGCCGTAGCATTCCCGCAACCTCTGACAGAACACCCCGCCCATGTCCTCTGAGCAGTCGCTGTTGAAGCGCTGCGTGCAGACATGCGTGTCATTGTAGCTTGTCATCTTGTAGTAGCTCAAGCTGGCGCTCCCCCAGACCGTGTTGCACACGTCCCCGTCTTCAATGGGCCCTACACATTGCCAAGGTTCGCTCTGGATATAGTCACAGGCGGCAGGACACAGGGTGTGCGCATCCCCCGTCCTGTCACATGCGACGCTTGTACCATCATCCAATGTCACAGTGAGATTGGGATCTCCACTTCTTAAAACCGATCGTGGCCACTTGCACTTGTAGATCTTAGCCGCCTGCAGGAACGCGGGCAGGACCAGAAACCATGACAAGCTTGGGGGCATTGTGGGCCTGACGCAACTGTCGCCCTGAGCCACACTCTGTCTGGACATGGTCATCGAGTGGGCAAGCCTCAACAGCCAAGAGAAAGCAAAACCCTAAACCCTGAACCCTGAACCCTGAACCCTAAACCCTAAAACCCGATCCTAACTAAGCCCTAAAGCCGACCCATGAGCCTTCCGGCAGAGGCACCTACCATGGGACTCTGACCTCCAGCTTGCAAGGGCCCCTCTTGCTCCAAGCGGGATCGCGTCGGGCTTGAAATGGTAAACCCTTAACTCTAAACCCTAAAACCCAAAACCCAAAAACCCAAAAACCCCAAAACCCAAAAACCCAAAAACCCTACAACCCTACAACCCTACAACCTTACAACCCTACAACCCTACAACCCTAAAACCCTAAAACCCTAAAACCCTAAAACCCTAAAACCCTAAAACCCTACAACCCTAAAACCCTAAAACCCAAAAACCCAAAAACCCAAAAACCCAAAAACCCGAAAACCCTGAACCCTAAACCACAACGCTTGCGCGCAGTGCGCCGCCGCAGTGCGCCGCCGCAAAAAAAACCGCGCTGTTCAAGATGCACGGGCTCTGCACTACGATTTGCTTACGAACCCTCAAAAGTAGAGAAAGCCCCATATTACCATTACAAGGAAGACTCTTTTCGATTTTTTGAAGGGTTCTTAAGCAAACCCTAAACCCTAAACCCTAAACCCTAAACCCTAAACCCTAAACCCTAAACCCTAAACCCTAAACCCTAAACCCTAAACCCTAAACAACTCTCGTGACCGCTCGCCACTTGGCTTTTGTCCCCGAAGGAGCGGCTCCAGTTCTGGAGCGGACTTCCAGGGCATTGTCACCTCAACACATTGGGGGTTTAGGGTTTAGGGTTTAGGGTTTAGGGTTTAGGGTTTAGGGTTTAGGGTTGAGGGTTTAGGGTTTAGGGTTTAGGGTTTAGGGTTTAGGTTTTAGTGACTGGGCTCCTTACCCCATACCAGGATGGGCTATATACCCTATCATCTCTTTAAAAGGGCCCTTTATAGGGTTTATCATGGGGATTTTAAGGCCTAGTAACCCATCCTGGTACCCTGGGATCCAGTAGATCCTCTTAAGGGTTCCGAACAAAAAAACAATTTTAGTAAACGGTACTATTTGGGGGCTCTATTTTTTTGGATCCCCCCAGAGGTCCGGGCCTACGTGAGGCTTCTAAATGAATCATGGCGGTGTACCCTACACCCGAAAAACTTGTAGGGGTTGGACATGTTCAAAAAGGGGGTGCAGAGAGCTAATGCCATTTTGGGGTCTTTTTGGCTGCAGTGGAACCATGTCTTTGCGCGGTGATGAACTAGACTCCACATTCTTGGAGGATTCTTTGGGGGCGCTGTCTAAGCCCTAAACCCTATAAACCCTAGACTCTATGATGTCCTCTTTTGGAGGTGAAACCCTCAACCCTAGACCCTAGACCACGAAGCTGCGTTTTGTGGGTCCCAGAGATTTGAAACCTGGCTGGCAACCACCCGGGCGGGCCTGTAGGATTGCAAGTCCTGCGAGAGATGGCCCGCGCCGCCGAACTCACGCAGCAACACCTCAGTCTCTGAAGGGTTTAGGGTCTTGGGGGCTTCCCAGACCCTGGGAGGATCTAACAAGTAGAGCCCCCACATCATACCCTATACTGCTACTGGGCTACTTTTGGGAATCCCTTAAGGGGATCTACTTTTTGGATCCTGGCGGGGTCTGGGCTATATAGGGTTTTAGGGCTCAGGCTCATCCGGCAAAGTGCCCGACGGCCTCTTGAATCCAGGGGAGGGAACAGGCATGCAAGAGGACTTTTCCCCCTGGGAGGGACCCCCTGAGGCAAAAAAACACAATAATGTATGTATATATGTGTTTATACATATATGACATATATATATATATATGTACATATATATATATATATAAATGTGTGTGTATATGATAAGTTCACCGAATCGTAAAAGTCATAATCGTAGCAACAAATCTTATAGTCAATAATGCAACCACAGCAAACAAAACAACGCGAACCAACTCCGCTTGGCATGGTTATCATCATACTCAGCGCCAAAAAGCAAATAATCGCTAAACACACACAAGAATGGCCGTTTAATACCAATAGTAGTAGAAGTACATTGAAACTCCGAATAATCGTAACAACAATGCTTATTTGAAAACTCACACAAATCGCAATGAGAAGAAGAAGAAGAAGAATAAGCAGAGCGAACTCGGTTTGGCATTGCTGGTTGCAGCCGCGGAGCTGCCCCATCACTTCGGATCTCGATGCACGAGATGGTCGAGTGACCCGCCTGAACCCACAATTGCAGCCCCCCTCCTCAGGCCCCGTTTAGGGGGGGGTGTTAGGGTTTAGGGTTTAGGGTTTAGGGTTTAGCGTCTGGGGTTCAGGGTTTAGGGTTTGGACCTCAGGAGTTCTCGTGTTTTTGGGTTGAGTCCCAGATTGTTGGCAAGGACTTTTGAGGGATTCATGGCAGCTTAGGGGAGCCATTGCTAAATCCTCAGTCAAGAGCGGAGTCCTCCACTTTGCACCGTGGGGGGGGGGGGGGTATGTAATATATCTATATATAAATACCATAAATAAACAAATAAATAAATAAATGCACTGTTTCCTGCAACACGCAGTCAGCAGGCGGAACCACGAGGAAGCATGAGAGCTTGCACGGAGAAGGGCCATCAAAGTCGGCAAGCGATGTAACCCTGAAACCTAAACCCTAAACGCTCCTAAAGCCTCCTAAACCCAAAAACCTAAACACTAAACCTTAAACCCTAAACCCTAAACCCTATAAGCCCTAAACCCTAAACCCCATGAGCCCTAAACCCTAAAGCCTAAAGACTAAACCTTAGACCCTAAACCCTAAACCCTAAAGCCAAGGGTAGGCCAAGGCGCTGCGAGACGTGACCACACGGCGGGGCTGAGCTGAAGCGCACGGCCTGGGCTCATCTTCGAAGAGCGCAGGCTGAGCAAAAAGAACATACGGTTTAGGATTTAGGGTTTAGGGTTCAGGGTTTAGGGTTTAAGGTTTAGGGTTTACGCTTTAGGGGTTAGGGCATAGGGTTTAGGGCTTTTTCAGCTGCTTCAGACACCCAGCAAGACACATAAGAAGCGCATGCCAGAGCCACCCAAGCCAGATAGCTTCGAACCATGTTCCCTGGCTCTAATTAGAGGCTTTGGGCCGAGTTTCAGTAGGGTTTAGGGTTTAGGGTTTAGAGTTTATTGTTTAGGGTTTAGGGTTTAGGGCATTCAACGCTCTCGGCACCCCCACACACCAGGTACCGGATCATGTTTCCGTGGCCGATGACCACCTGCGCAAGGCCAGGGCGCTGGCAGATCGGACTGACATGGTCCTCCCCCCCGGGTTTAGGGTTTAGGGTTTAGGGTTTAGGGTTTAGGGTTTAGGGTTTAGGGCTACTACTCCCCCCCCTAGGTTCCCCCTTAAATGACCCTAATTAAGCTTACTTAATTAAGCCTGAATTAAAACGAACCCCCAAGTGTGAACTCGGCTTGGACTGCCACGAAGGGAGGAATCGCCACAAACGGTTCCAACATCGGGGAAGTACGATTGGCGGGATACTCAGGGAAGACAGCTAGGCTCAAATTCAACAGGCTGCAAACCCCAACCCCTAACCCCCAAGCCCCAAGCCCCAAACCCCCAAACCCTAAGCCCCAAGTCAAACCCTGAGCCCCAAACCCTAAACCCTAAACCCCAAACCCTAAACCCCTACAACTCCAGGCAGATTTCGAGTCCCAGCTTTCTCCTCCCTGCCTCTGCGCTAGCCTCTGGGCCACCGGCAGGCCGCCACTGGCACCAAAAGAGGGCTGAAAGAGCTTCAGGGACCCTCTAGCCCTAAACCCTAAACCCTAAACCCTAAACCCTAAACCCTAAACCCTAAAACCTAAACCCTAAACCCTAAACCCTAAACCCTAAACCCTAAACCCTAAACCCTAAACCCTGAACCCTAACCCCTAAACCCTAAACCCTAAACCCTAAGCTCTAAACCCGGGATCTCTAGAAGGGACCCTCCTTCCTACCACCACCCTAAACGTACATCCTTTCTCTTGCCTTAAGAGGAAGGGAACCAAGCACCCCAAAAGCTCATAAACCCCCATCAACCCAATAAAGTCCTGCTCAAACCTTCACCCTCAACCCTATACCCTAAACCCTCTAAAACCCTCCATTTTTGGAGGTTTATGGGGGTTTCTGGAGTTTATGTGGTTTACAGGGTTCTAAGCCTCAGAAACCCTGTAGAAACCCTAAAGTCAGCACAACTCTCCCAAGAGACCCAAGACTCCCCAAAGCGTGCTGAGTTCTGAAAATTCCTGGAGTTGCCCTAAACCCTAAACCCTAAACCCTAAACCCTAAACCCTAAACCCTAAAACCCTAAACCCTAAACCCTAAACCAAAAAAATCCACGAACCTTACGCACACACGCAGACAAAGCCGCGACAAAGCCTCTGAACGCTGTTTGGCGTTTAGGGCTGAAACCCTAAACCCGAATTTCCAAACTCTGCGTCTGTGGCGGATGTGCAGTTTGGGTTTAAGACTTAAGGCCTAAGGCTTAGGGTTTAGGTTTTAGGGTTTAGGGTTTAGAGTTTAGGGTCTAGGGTTGAAGGTTTAGGGTTTAGAGTTTAGAGTTTAGGGAGGGGCGGACCACATGAGTTCTCAGCGCCCCCTCGGCGCGAGCCACGTCACTGGCGAGGACCTGAGCACTCCAGTAGGGGATCCGAAGTATGAGCTTAATTTGCGTCCCTTGCTATATATAGCTAGGGCCCCTATGCGGGTTGTAGGGCTCTAGGGTTTCAGGGTTTAGGGGGTTATGTAAGGTTGTGCAAATCAGATGCCCTCTATGGCACAGAAAGGGAGGGTGCTAACCCTAAACCCTAAACCCAGTACTACCAACAAATACAGTAGCGACGCATAAATGCCGTGATTGAGATCAGACCCATGCGCGGCGTTCCGCGTAATCGACCCCCCCCCCCCTGCCCCGCGCGCCCCCCCCCCCCCCCCCCCGCCCCGCGCCCCCCCCCCCCCCCGCCCCGCCCCCCCCCCCCCCCTCTCAATGGTATCCCCCGCCCGATGGTATCCCCCCCCCACCCCCCCCAAACCCTGCCCGTTGACCCTAAAAAGGCCACGGACCACAGGACTTGGAGAGAGAAACCCTCAACCTAAACCCCAAACCTGAACCCTAAGCCCTAAAACCCAAACCCGCCAATGAACCGCAGGGGGGAGAATGGTAAACCCAAAACCTTAAACGCTTTAACCCTGAACCGTAAACCCAGCACGAACCACTGGGAGGAGAGGGGAAACCATAAACCTAACCGTAAACTCTAAACCCACCGTGAACCAATGGACCAAGGGGGTCAGAGGAAAAATCACGAACGTTACAGCCTAACCCTAAACCCATGAACCACAGACCATGAACCACAAGAAGGGTGGGGGGGGGGGACCCAAAACCGACCATGAACCACAGGGGGTTGCCATGGCGGGCGGGGGGGGAGGGGCACAGGGCTGGCTCATATAAGCCCTCATAAGCCCTAAACCCCAAACCCCAAACCCTAAGCCCTAAACCCCAAACCCTAAACCCTAAACCCTAAACCCTAAACCCTCCGTCCCGCACATCCCGCCGGGCCTCTGCAGGTATCTCCTGGAGCTGCTCCTCGCAGGACGCCCAAAAGCTATAGAGTTCTTAAGGGAGGGGGGGTTCAAGGGGGTTTAGGGTTTAGAGTTTAGGGTTTAGGGTTTGGGGTTTAATTAGGGTTTCGGGTTTACCCTTAAAAGCCCTAAATTCCTAGAACGCTAAACCTCCTTCAGTCCTAAATCTTTCAAGCCACTTAAAGCCCCTGGCAACCAAAACCCTAGAACCCTAAACTTAAAACCTTTAATTTTAAACGCTTAAAAACCCAAAGACCCTACACCGGCCCTACACCCCTAAACCTCCAAAATCAAAAAACCCAAAAACCCCAAAACCCCAAAACCCTAAAACCCTAAAACTCCAAAAAACCAAAAACCCAAAAACCCAAAAAGTTCCCTAACACCCGAAAAGACCCCTAAGCCCCAGAGAGCCCCTAAAATATTCAACAAAATCCAAACTTTTGGATCTTTTAAACGATTTTTGACTTTTAAACCACCAAAACCTTTAACCTTTAAACAAAAAGCTAAACACCATTTTTTTAACCACCAAAACCTTTAACATTTACACGCTAAAAACCATTTTAAACCCCTAAAACCCTAAAGGCCCTAAACCCGCCCCTGCAACCTAAACTCTAGAACCCTAAACCCTAAAACCTTTGAACGCTTAAAAGCCCTAAGGCCCAAAAGCCCTAGACCTCTAAACCCCAAAGTTCAAAGAGCCCTAAAAATACTCAAAATATCTAAACAATTGAAAAAATGCTCTGCGATTCTTTTGCTTTTTGAACCCCAGAGTCCACAAAACCCTAAAACCCTAAAACCCTAAAGCCCTAAAAACCTAAAACCCTAAAACCCTAGAAACCCTAAAGCCCTAAAGCCTAAAAGCCCTAAACCCCAAAGAGCCCCTTGAAACCCCAAACCCCTACAAGCCCTAAGCCCCTAAAAACCTAAAACTATAGAAAACCCCTTAAAAACCCCTTAAAAACCCTAGAACCCTAAAGCCTAAAAAAAACCCCAAACCCCAAAGAGCCACCTAAAGTAGCCTAAAGCTAAAGCTTTTGAACGCTTTAAGTCCTTAAAACCCTAAAACCCCAAAAATCCTAAGACCCCTGAACCCCAAAGAGCCACTATAATTCATCAACAAAAAAACCTAATGTCCCAAAGGCCTACAAACCCGAAAATTCTAAAACCCGAGAGGCCTAACCATAAAAACGTAAACAACCCTAGAACCCTAAAGCCTAAATGCCCTAAACCCCAAAGAGCCCCTTGAAACCCTAAAAACCCTAAAAGCCTAAAACCCTAAAACCCTAAACCCTAAACCCTAAAACCCAAAACCCTAAAACCCTAAAACCCGAAACCCGAAACCCTAAACCCCAAAACCCTAAAACCCTAAACCCTAACACACTGAAAGCCCCTCAAACCCCCAAGAAAGCCCCTTGCAACCAAGTCGAAGCGGCCGGAGCTGGACTCGGAACCTGGCTGAGGCCCTTAGAACAATCTTCAAGAGGTTTAGGGTTTAGGGTTTAGGGTTTAGGGTTTAGGGTTTAGGGTTTAGGGTTTAGGGTTTAGGGTTCAAGGTTCAGGGTCTAAACCCGGTTTAGGGTTTAAGGTTTAGGGTTTAGGGATTAGGGTTTAGGGTTTGGGGTTTGGGGTTTAGGGTTTAGGGCTTAGGGCTTAGGGCTTGGGGATTAGGGTTTAGGGTTTCATACTGTTGAGGTCAACAGTATGTTGATCTGGATCGTACTGGGGGTCCCCTATTTTCGTAAACCCCCATTGTGGAAGGGCCCCGAAACCGCATGCAACGCCCCCCCCCCCCCCGGCAGCAAATCCAAAATGGCAAAGTGCTCCCGCAGGCAGACGTCACCCTGAACCCTAAAACCCTAAGCCCTAAACCCTACACTCTGAACCCTAAACCCTAAACCCTAAACCCTAAACCCTCATGTCTCCAACATGTCCCCGAAAAACAGGCCGCGGGCCGCGATCGGGACGCCTTCTGCCAGCAGCGGAGACTCTTTGGCCCGGACCTGGCAAGGTGAAATGGTCTGGGGATAAACCCCAAAACCCAAAAGCCTCCAAACCCTAAAACGCTAAAACCCTAAAACCCCAAACCCCAAAGCCCTAAGACCCCAAGACCCTAAAACCCTAAACCCCTTCTGAGGGTCGAGGCCCCTACTTTCCAGGTTCACGGGTAGCTTTAAGTAGGGCTATACGTACTCTCAGTAGGGTTATACGTATCGTTACCATACTTATAACCCTACTTATATAGAGTTTTTTCCCTTCTATCTATAGAGTCGAGAAACTCTCGAGAAGGTAAAAAAACTCCGTCCTGAAATCTACTCAATATACAAAAGCAAAACGAGCGAGATAGTTTCCTAATAATGTGAAATCCTGAAGAATATCTCTGAAACCTATACAATCAATCCGCGAATACGAATCTGCTTCAAGTGCTTCATGGCACGATCTTCTTCAAATCATTAAATGTAAAAATAATCTATCAATTTATACTTTCTATAAGATTTAAAATAATGAAGAAAAGAAAGCCATGTCCAGTCCTTAAAATCTACTCAACAATAAATTCAATTTATAGGGCTAAATCCTAAACGAGTAAGGTCTGTGAATGGGCTTTAGGCTAAATCTTAATCGAATAATGTTTAGGAATAGGATTTGGGACTGAGCCTTCGCGAAGATGGTCCAAAATTTGTGATCTTCGCAGGCGCGAGCGAATGTGAAATTGTTACGGGCTTCGCCGCCTGGAACAACCAGACGCTCGGGGCGTAAGGGGCTTGGCACGCGCCTTCAGAATGCCCCCGCGCATTCCACCCGACTGGCTGGCCGGGCGCGCGCGCGCTGTTCCCACCCTGATTTCACTTGCTGCGCAGCCTTTCTGAACTCTGAGCGGGCGTTCACTCACGGTCGACCGCTGGCGCTCCTGTCGCGCCACATCTCTCCGCTTTTCACGCGACGAGTGCCTTGTACTAAGCCTCCGACGGATCACACTGAGCGCGTGTTCACCATCGGTCAGTGCTGGATCTGGCGCCACGTCGCTTCAGATTTCGTCCGACGAGTGCTTGCTCTGAGCCCCGGACGGGTGGCAATCCTTTGGATCGATCACAAGGTTCGGGCCCCTTCTGGCGGCAGCAAGCGCTTGCTGCAGTTGCTTTCCTGGTAGGCTACCAACACGTATGCATAGTCTCCTTCGCCAATTCCTCCTCCCAAAACTGCCTGGATTCCTGCGCAGACCATGGAGGCCGCAAAAAGAGTCCTGGTCATCAGCGTTCGACTCGTCCTTTGCTGCCCGCGATGAAGATGGGCATGGGCGTTTGTTGGGGTTCATGAGCTTCATAAGGTCTATAGGGTCAAGGACTGCTGCATGGTGTTCATGTGGGGTTGTGGGTTTCGATTTACGCGCGTTCTTTCCACAGTCCGCCGCCCAAGCAAAAGTTTAATGTAGGGTTTATAGGCGTAGGGCGCAAGACTGCTGCAAGCGCCAGAAGCTGGGTCGCGAGCGTTCTGGCCCGGAGAAGGCGCCTGGCCGCAGCTCGGTGTTCGCGTGTGTGGGGTTAAAGGACAAAGTTTCGTTATCGTTGCTGCTTCTCGACGGGTTTAAGGTCTAAAGGGTTATCTGGACTCGACTCTAGAGTCGAAGGTAGTAAGGGTCTATTGAGTCCACCTGAGCCGCCTGCTTCACAGCAAGTTCCCACCTCCTCCATGTCTTCATCGCTGCTGAGAACGCCAAGGTCCTGCCGATGCGCTGTGGGTCGCTGACTACTTTCTCGCTTTCGCGGCAAGCCTCCGGAGCTTCTCCAGCGCCAGCCTGCAGATCCGGTCGCAAAACAACCGCTCCTCGCTCACTTCTTCGCGTGTCGCAACTGAGGCAGAAACGGTGCAGTTCGAGGCAGCTTCCTGTTGCGAGAGGCCAGGCGCACCCAACCGCGCGACTCTTTCTTCCATCCTCAGAAGCGCCTGCATCGCGACCTTCATCTGGCCGCCGACGATGCATATCTGCTTCATGCGCCTAGCGACCTGTTCAAGCGCGGTACTGGTGAATGCGGCCTCGACACGGCTGACACGGCCACCTCGCCCGTAGAAGCTGCTCGGGCCTGTCTACATATATATATACACATGTATATATATATATATATATACATTTTTCTAATACCTTGTGGACGTAATGGCCTTTAAAAGCGGCTTCAACCTCCAAAAAGACGGTAAAACAAGGCTTTTGTGATTTTAAGATACATTTGGGATTCTTAAAGGTCGGCCTTGAGTGTCCGATTTCGCATGATTTCATGGGGCATATTAGAAAAATGGGAATAGTGCTCCAGCTAACAATGTTTTGAGAGTACTCACTGTGCGAAGCACATAGAATTTGCGACCGAATGTTTGGCAACACGACAGCGGTGGCATTGAATGGGCATTATGTGTCGCAGACACGGCGCTTGCTTCCACATTCAACACTGTATATCACCAAATGCTGTGGTAACCGCCACCAATAAAAGGAATCTTTAGCTATGATGTTTTGAGCCAAAACTCCCTTCTTGTTTCCCTTATCTTGTGGGTTGAAGGCTGCGCCCAATCTATCGCGGCGCTGCCCTCGAGCACTCCCTTCGCCCTTTGCTCCGCCTCCTCCAGCACAGCTCGGTTTGCCTCCCGCTGCTTTGAGCGGTAAGTATTCTGGCGCTTCCGGTCCCGCTCCCGGATGCTCTCGAGCTTCGCCGTGCCTTACCCAGAACAAGACTTCGCATGGGCAATAAGAAATGGAGGCTTCCGTACTCCCCACACCTCGGCATCAGTCCGCTCCTTGAGGGCGGCCCTTTGTTTCTTGAGGCGGGCGCGCTCGGACCGCGCTTCCTGGCCTTGTGCTCCTTGCACGTGCACTCTAGACATGACATGGGTGGAAATGTCGAGCGGCTCTGCGTGAGGTGCCTGCTCCCACTGCACCGCCTTGGCCTCACTCCTTGCCCAGCGTAAAGATTAAAACAAGCAATGTTCAGCTCCAATCTGAGAAGTGGGAAGTCTGTCCTGGCGCTGCGCCTCCACCACTTCCACCCGTGTGATCTCCAGGGTGAGCCTCGCATGCACTGCTGCCGCACGCGGGCGGAGCACTCCATGGCGGTGGCCTTGCTGCGTTGTTTCCACGAGTTATTGCAGCAAACGTGCTGCACGGCCGAAAACGAGGCGCCGACTACCTCGGCGATGAGGCAGTTAACCGCGACCCACCAGCCTCGCGACGACTGCTTCGTGCAGGCCCTGTTCCGAATTCTCTCATCCTCTCCTCCTCCTCTCCTCCTCTCCTCCTCCCCTCTCCTCCCCTCTCCTCCCCTCTCCTCCCCTCCTCCTCCCCTCCTCCTCCCCTCCTCCTCCCCTCCTCCTCCCCTCCTCCTCCCCTCTCCTCCCCTCTCCTCCCCTCCTCCTCCCCTCCTCCCCTCCCCCCCTCCTCCCCTCCTCCCTCCTCCCCTCCTCTCCTCCTCCTCCCTCCTCTCCTCCCCTCCTCTCCTCCCCTCCTCCTCCTCTCCCTCCTCCTCCTCCTCTCCTCTCTCCCTCTCCCTCTCCCTCCTCTCCTCTCCTCTCCTCTCCCCTCCTCTCCCCTCCTCTCCCCTCCTCTCCCCTCTCCCCTCCTCTCCCCTCCTCCCCCTCCTCCCCCTCCTCTCCCCTCCTCTCCCCTCCTCTCCCCTCCTCTCCCTCCTCCTCTCTCCTCTCCTCCTCTCCTCCTCTCCTCCTCTCCTCCTCTCCTCCTCTCCTCCTCTCCTCCTCTCCTCCTCTCCTCCCTCCTCCCTCCTCTCCTCTCTCTCCCTCTCCTCCTCTCTCCTCTCCTCCTCTCTCCTCCTCTCTCCTCCTCTCCCTCTCTCCTCCTCTCCTCCTCCCTCTCTCTCCTCATCCCTCCTCTCCTCCTCATCTCCTCCTCCCCTCCTCTCCCTCCTCTCCCTCCTCTCCTCCTCCTCCTCCTCTCCTCCTCTCCTCTCCTCCCTCCTCCTCCCTCTCTCCTCTCCTCTCCTCTCCCTCCTCTCTCCTCTCCTCCTCCTTCTCCTCCTCTCCTCTCCTCCTCCTCCTCCTCCTCTCCTCCTCCTCTCCTCCTCCTCTCCTCCTCCTCTCCTCCTCTCTCCTACTCTCTCCTCCTCTCCCTCTCCTCCTCCTCCTCTCCTCCTCCTCTCCTCCCTCTCCTCCTCTCCTCCTCTCCTCCTCCTCCTCCTCTCCTCCTCTCCTCCTCTCCTCCTCTCCTCCTCTCCTCCTCTCCTCCTCTCCTCCTCCCCTCCGCTTCTCTTCCTCATGTTGCAGCCTGCTCACGGGAACCCCATAGATAGAATACACCTGGCCTCAAGCGTGGACTAAAGCCCTGCAGGCCCTCGTAGAACCCCCATACCTGGAATACACAAGGTTTCAAGTGAAGACACATAGAAGCTGAGACGCATAAATCTCGCAGGCCGTCATTGTAACCCCATCTGGTGCTTGACGAGTCTTGAAACCCATAGTTAGAAAATGTGTGCAGGAGGGCCCGAAAACGGGCGTTCTTTCGGTGTCCCGAAAATATTCTATCTATGGGTTTTGGGACTCTTTGAGATATTCTATCTATGGGTTTCAATATTCTATCTATGGGTTCCTTCAAAAACGTGGGAAAGAGCCCAAAACCCTGAAAAAAAAAGAAAACCATATTCTATCTATGCAAGGATGACTATAAACCCTAAACCCTAAACCCTAAAACCCAAACCCTGGGGCCCTTCAGCTGCGCCTTGCCAAGTGCGTTTTTGATGATCTCGGCCGTGGATTTGGCCTCTGGCGCGGGCGAGTGAAAAATCACCTGGGCTTTGACAGCGCAGTGAAGGGGTCAAAAGGTTCAGGCTCGAGCGCCAGGCTGCTTCGCGTGCAGGCGCGAGTGCACGGGTCTTGTGAGGCTGCAGCGAGAGTAGGAGAACGTTTGGCCAAGAAAAAGGATTCCCGCAGCATGAGAACGTGGCCCACAAGGCATTTCAAAAAAGGCTTGGCCAGGAGTTCCCAGCGGTCTTCAGGAGGCGTCAAAAGAAGTAGACTCTTCGACTTTTCGACATGTGAATGAATGAATGACTGACTGACTGACTGAGACTGCATGAGTGAGTGAGTGAGTGAGTGAGTGACTGAGCGACTGAACATATAATCACATGAAATATCTGTATATATAGATATGTAAGATGACATATTCTCATGTTACTATGAATATTCTCTCAGTAATCATACTAACATTTATATGTTCGCAAGGGTTGCGAGTTTTTTAGCGGCCCTGAGGAGTGGCACGCTGTGGGCAAAGCTTTGGGCGGGATCTTCTTGGGACAGCTGGTTCAGGGCGCTTCTGTTCTGTAGGTTTAGGGTTTAGGGTTTAGGGTTTAGGGTTTAGGGTTTAGGGTTTAGGGTTTAGGGTTTAGGGTTTAGGGTTTAGGGTTTCGGGTTTCGGGTTTCGGGTTTAGGGTTTAGGTTAAGGTGGGACCCTTGTAATAAGGGACCTTTGGGGTCATTTAGGGGCGACTTAGGTACACAGGGACTATGTAAGGTATATGTGGGGCTATGTATGGGTTATACAGGGGAAGAAGACTCATGGTCCCTTCGCGGGGCTGGTTACCCCTCCTTGAGGAATCATCGCAGGGCAGGTGGTAGTAAATGTGATGAGAGTAGTAGGCATGTGTCCGCGAAGCCACTCCACCCGAAGCCCTAAACCCTGTGAACCTTCAAAACCCTGAACCCTATTTACCCTCAAATCCCAATCAACCCTGTAAAGCCTCCAAATTACAAACCCCAAGCCCGAAACTTGATAAACCCTAAAACCTAAACCCGGACCCCTCAGAGGTT